GGGGGGGGGGGTAGGGAGACAGAGAGAGAGAGAGAATTTTAATATTTATTTTTTTTTAGTTATCGGCAGACACAACATCTTTGTTTGTATGTGGTGCTGAGGATCGAACCCGGGCCGCACGCATGCCAGGCGAGCGCGCTACCACTTGAGCCACATCCCCAGCCCACAATGTTGATTTTAATTAAGCCACAACCTCAGCCCAAGAATACCACAGCAGGTCTCACCAGGCATCCAAGCCTCTTTAGAGGAGGCCAGATGAGGGGGGTTGGGCCTCTTAGGCATTATTAGTCATTTAGGTTTCCAGAATCATATCTTTCAATGGGCTTCCATGAAAAATGACTCACAAAGAGTCTGATCCCCACCCTGCCCCCATGTCCAGGCTGTCCCAAGAATGGAGCTCACCATCTACTTGCTGGGAGAACTGGACCTCCACCACCACCCAGGACACACCACTGAGTACAGAGGTGGTCTCAGCTACCCAAGCACCAGCTCCAGCACAGGGAGGGGATCTTGCCAGCCCTGCAGCCTCTGCTGAGGAACCACAGATAGGAGGTCCCCATAAATTGTCCACACTGTTGTTCAGAAATTCCTGCCTTGGCTCAGAGAGCCAACATCAATGTATCAGTGCGAGCAGGTACAGCCACTGACAGGTGGACAATATGTGCCCTGTGGCGATTCAGCTCCAAAGTGCCGACACTATCCCTGAAGAAGTGACCTGTCCTCCCACACAATTTCATGCAGTGACCCAGGTCACTGCAGCTCACAGACGGCTGTAGTGAACTTGTGTTCTTACCATCTGACACAAGAGAAAGTTGGGACCACACTCAGGTCACAGGCCTGCAGAGGAAGAGCAGCCCACCATCTCTGGCCTTTGACTGCAGTACTCTAACCCTACCCAGTGTGTGGGCCTGTGAGATGCCAAAACTTCCCAATTCCTACTTTGATCAAGAGGGACCTATGTGGAAGGTCCAGGCACAGGCAATGGACCATCCCAGCATTTACAGGGTGAGGACCTGACCTCAGAACCAAGCTCTGTGCCGGACTTCCTCTGATGAAATCCCTCTGGCAGTTCAGGGCAAGGTCTGTGTCCATTTATAGGCAGAAACTAGCCTCGGGCACCAAGGTTTCAAGTACAGGGCTGGAATTCCGGGCTCTCTTGCTGCCTCATCTGGGGTCTCCTGCTCATCTACTACCCTGGAAAATCCCCTCGAGCTTTGAAAATCTCTAATAGCGCTGCAGCATCAAAAACACAATGCTGTGGCGTATCACTTTTTACCTTTTAGATTAGAAAAGAGTTAATGTTTCTATATCCAGTGTGGTAAGGGTGCAGGGACAGAGGAAAGTTTTTATATTCTAGGTGTGAGTAACAAATTGGTAGAACCTTCTTTTGAAGGGGAATATAGCAATATCTGAACAAATTCTAAAGTTATTAACCAGTTGGCCCAAGAATTCCATTCCTAAGGAGTTACCCAAGTAGATGGCGCACATGGATACATGTACCTGTGGTACACACCAGGGCGTTTACTACAATACTGCTGGAATTAGCAAAAACAAAACCAAGATGTAATCTGAACAGCTACCTATAGGATAGAAGATTAAGATAATCCATGGTTCACGTGTAAAATACTAACCTGTTGTTAAAAAAAAAAAAAAGTGCAGGTACGAATATAAAACATCTCTTGTAATTTAGTATTAGCTTCATAATTGTAAAAAGCTCTACCTGATGGAAGAAAGACTGACTTATGGAAGGATGAGAGGGCCCTTTGGGATGCCAGAAGGCCTGTCTCACATTTTCAAAACCATCAAATTCAGACTTTTGGCCCTGATGTCTACATTCAGCTGGATACACACTGACCTGACAAAAATAAACCAGTCATGGAGAAGCACTAAATGTGGATCCCACAATAAGTGTCTGTTGCTTAAAAAACAAAAACAAAAAATGTGGATCCCACCTAATATAAAACTGATATTCAAAAAATAAATCCCCTAATTATTCTGAGATGGTAACAAAATGCTATTTCCTGGATTAGGAGTGAATTTGTTACATGAAAACATTAAAAACGACATGATACTTGCAAGGTTATTGCTATGATTCAGACTTGGTTGAGGATGTCCCCTGGATGGTGGTGGTCAGAGTGGGTGGGGCCTTTGAGAGGCGGGGCCTAATGGGATGATATTAGGTCATTACCGGCCTTGTCCAGGAAAGAATCAAGGTAGTTCTTAGTGCCCAGGAGGTGGTTGATATAAACACACGATCCTGACCCCAATACCCCTCAGTGTTCCTGTCTTGTCCTGTGATCTCTCCCTCTCCCGCCCTAAAGCCACCAATCAGTAGGATCCTCACAGCAGCTGGGGCTGTGTGCTTGAACTTCCACAAGAGCTAAATAAATAAACTTCTTTCTATATGAACCAGTCCTAAGTATTTGATGAAGCAATGGAAAACGGAATAATACAAGTGGGTTTTTTTCTTTTCTTTTTTTTTTTTTTTTAAGTTTTAAGCTTTTTCCCCCTAACATACAAGTAACCTGGAAAAGTGTAATTAGCGGGAGCTTCCAGCAACCTAGAAAGCACCCCGCCCCCGCCTGCCTTTCCCTCCTTCACAGGAAATCGCGGTCCCCCAATAGGTTTCAAGTCGTAACTTTGTAACTTGGTATCCTGCCTTCGGCCGTCCTCCCGCAGTGAGGAGGCAGGCCAGGCGAAGTCCCTGGGCCCCGCGGGACCCCGCGGGGCTTCGCTCACCCGATCGGAAGCGCGGTGGGAAGGTAGCGCACGAGGACGGACGTGCGTGAAGGAAAAGCAAAAAAGTCCCTGGCTGCCTTCCAGGTGGAACTCGCCTTGTCCATTTTGAAATGCCCCCAAAGTGTCCCCAACCCGTGGAGAGGCGCGCGGGGCACCGCCTCCCCTCCTCCTGGCCCGGGTCGGTCCTGTGGGACCGGGACCCGGACTTTCCCTTTCCCGCCGCCGCCGAGCGCGTCCTGCCCGGGCATGCCAGGCGACAAGCGACCGGGGCCTGGCACCCCCGCCACGACCCCCAGGCCTCCTGCCCCTCCGAGCGCACGTGTCCTCCGAGAACCGAAGCCGGAACTCACCCACAGCGCACAGACGAAAGTCAAGGTCCTGACCCGGAGTCCAGGTGCGGCTTCCAGGGCTCGGCTGGGGCCGGGGGCGCGCACTCCCGGGGCCCCGGGGCCGCCTAGCGCGCTCCCCCTGTGGACCATGGTATTAGGGGGACTCTTGGGCTCCGTCCCTGGGCTACGATTGAGAGTTGGCTGCAGAATCTTCCGCGTTTCTCGTCCACATGGAAATGTCGCCCCGTCTAGCTGCGCGCGCTGCCACCTGCCTTCGGCCCCGCGTCTGCGCTCTTCCAGGAACATGTGGAAACTGCTAGAAGGCACGTCGCTCGGAGTCTTACGATGCTTTTCCACGCCCCCAAGCTCCGCCCGGGTGGTAGCCGAGGAGTCAGGCTGTGAAGTCTTTCCACTGTTCCATCCAAAAAAGTCTGTATTTCCATATGAATTTTATATAGAATAAAATCTTCAATTTAAAAAAAAAATGCTGTTTTTTTTTTTAATTTAAAAACTAAAAATTTTTTTTTGGTTGTAGAGGAACACAAAACCTTTATTTTATTTATTTTTATGTGGTGTTGAGGATCGAACCTAGTGCCTCATTAGTGCAAGACAAACACTCTACCACTGAGCTACCACCCCAGCCCCAAGAATGCTGGGTTTTAAATTGGGATAGCATTGAATACAGATATCAATGCGAAGAATTAGCATTTAACCATTTTGGGGTCTTATAATTCATCAAAGATTTATGTATTTCTATCTTCTGAAGTTTAACAGTGTTTTGCAAACTCTCAGTGAAAATATTTTACAAGATTGAGTCTTGCACATCATTTTTAAGTGTATTCTTAAATATATTTTTTTAATTTGAAAATTTTTTCTAATTATAATGACAGTAGAATGCATTTTGACACACAATACATAAATGGAGTGTAACTTCTCACTCATTCTTCTGGTTGTACGTGATGTAGAATTGCTATTCTTAAATATATTTAATGTTATTGTTAGTGGAATTGGCTTAGATTCTTTTGTTTTAAAATTGGTGTTTTTACTCCTACATGCAAGTTCAATTGATGGCCAGGCACGGTGGTGCACGCCTGTAATCCCAGCGGCTTGGGAGGCTGACACAAGAGGATCACAGTTCAAAGTCAGTAGTGGTGAGGCTCTAAGCAACAGTGAGGCCCTGTCTCTAAATAAAATACAAAATAGGGCTGGGGATATGGCTCAGTGGTTAAGTGCCCCTGAGTTCAATCACACAATTGATTTTTGTGCATTGGTCTTGTATTCTATGATCTTGTTAAATTTGTATATTATTTCCAGTTTTATTTTGTAGATTCTTTAGGATTCTGTGTATAAGCAACCACACTCTGTGTAGCTGAAAACAAACTTAGTTTTCTTTCTCCCTCAATCTTGACACACTTTTTTCATCTTGCTTAATTGCCCTGCCTAGGACTTTCAGTGTTAAATGTTAAAGTGGTTGAAGCAGACATACTTGTCTTATTTCCAATCTTAGAAGGAAATCATCCAATATCACTGTTAGATAGGATGCTTATTATCAGGTTAAATTCCCTTCCATCCCTAGTTTGTTAAGAATTGTCATCATGAACAGTTGTTGAAATTGGTCAAATGATATTTTTCTGCATCTGTTGAGATGATTTCGTAGTTTTCCTCTCTTATGCCATTAAAATAATCAATGAGTTTGTCTTTCAAATGTTATATCCACTAAATTTCACTTGTGATGTATTATGATGTAAATACATATTGCTAGATTTGACTTGGTAAGGTTGTCCCTCCCCCCTTTTCTTTCTTTTTAACAAGACCGAGAATTAAAACTGGCGGGAGCCTGGGGGGGGGCCCTCTACCACTGAGCATATCCCCAGTCCTTTTTTAAAAACATATGTTTTATTTTGAGGGCTGGGGTTGTGGCTCAGCGGTAGAGTGCTTGCCTAGCACATGTGGGGCCCTGGGTTCGATCCTCAGCACCGTATAAAAATAAATAAGCAAAAGGTATTGTGTCCAATCACAACTAAAAAATAAAATATATTTTTTTAAAAACACATATGTTTTATTTTGAGACAGGGTCTCTAAGTTGCCCAGGCTACCCTGGAAATTTAGATCCTGCTGCCTCAGCCCCCCAAGTTGCTGGGAATACAGGCATGTGCACCATGCCCCGCTGGCAATACTTTAAGAATATTTTTTTGTCTAAATTCATGATATTGAATATAGATTTATCATTTTCTCCAGTATTTTATATCATCTACCTTTTATATCATTGTTCCTATGAATGCACAAAAAATGTTTTATGTACCAAACTTCCTCTTTACCATGGACTGTAATGTTCCTGGGTAGCATTTTTTTTTTATGTTTATCTTTCTTGGGGGGGAGGGAGTTTCCAAGTTTCTTAATCTGTGAGTTGATGTTTTTCACTGCATTTGAGAAAATATCAGCCTTTTTTTTTTTTTTACCCTTCCCCTTTTTTAGCCACTTCTTGGTCTCCATTTCCACATGTAACGCATATTTTTCTGTAGGTCACTGAGATACTTTTCCTTCATTTCTTTCAGTTCCTTTCTCCTTTCGATTTTTTAAAAAATCTCTCTTCCAGCTCACTTTCTTCTGCTATGTTTAATTTCTCTTATGATTATCCAAGTGAATTTTTCATATCAGATAGTGGAATTGGGGGTTCTAAAATGCCCATTTGGTTCCTGTTTTACATCATATATATGTTGAAATAGTCCATTTTCCCTTCATGTTGACTGGGGTTTTTTTTGTTTGTTTTTGTTTTGCAGAACCCAACACAACACTGAGTTGCTTAGCACTTTGCTCTTGCTGAGGCTGGCTTTGAACTCGCTGCTGGTGTGTGCCACCTCACCTGGCCCAACATATATTTTAAAAATTCCTTCAAAGTGATTCTCTTGTGAATCAGCATTAAGAACCACTGGAAGTGAGAGACTTTACCTCGAAGGAAGACCTATTTGAGGAGGAAAAGAGCAGACAGTGTTTATTAGTCCCTTGCTTACAATACTTTTTTAAGAATTTATTGATCATTGATTATGTACCAATCATAATGTCTACAAAGGTTAAAATACGTAGAACCTGCTCCAAGAAACTTGCACTTCTGCAGGGAAACAGTAAAACGGTTATAATAAAATGCAATATTGACTGGGTGTATTAAGATGTCCATATCCCTATGAGCTTGTATTTTGCTTCAGAGGAAAAAACATGCTTAGAATAAATCAGGAAAAAGGAATAGAGGAGAAGAGAAAGGAAGAAAATCAGGAGGGGCTAGGGTTGCAGCCCAGTGGTAGAGTGCTTGCCTAGCAGGTGTGAGGCCCTGGGTTCAATTCTCAGCACTACATATAAATGAATAAAATAAAGGTCCATTGACAACTAAAAATATATTTAAAAATTACTCAGGAGAATTTCTCAGACTTTATTTACAAAGACAACAGGGGAGATGACATAGACAACAGTAGAAATTTTAGCTACGCAAACAATAAACATACCTTCCAAGCCAGATGAACATAAAGCCTCATGCAAAAGTTCTCCTTAGCTCAAGTCCTTTACCCAGTTCATTTTTTCAACAAAAATTATGTAAAAATAGTAAAGACACCACGTGGGCTCTCTCTCATCCACAGAACAGGGTAGAGGATAGCACAGCGTGGCTGCAGAGTTGCTAATCAAGACTTCTGAAGACCAAGCAGGAAGCAGGTCTGATTTTATTGCACAGTTACCATGTACATATACTCAGGCAGGAGCTAAGCAGATTACAGGCAGCCACCAAAGCAATTTCAGCTAACGGTCCTTGTATCGAGAAATCAAGGTGCAGGCAGTGGAGCAACCGCAGGACTGCAACACATGGCCTCACACCCAGGGCTGTGCCTATGGGTAAGTGGCCTGCTGCTCACGTGCTCAAATGGAACCACCATTTGACCCAGGTATCCCATTTTTAGGTTTATACCCAAAGGACTTAAAATCAGCATATTACAGTGACAAGGCCACATCCATGTTTACAGCAGCTCAACTCACAATTGCTAAACTGTGGAGCCAACCTAGGTGCCCTGCAACAGATGAATGGATAAAGAAAATGTGGTATACATACACAATGGAATATTACTCAGTCTTAAAGAAGAATGAAATTATGGCATTTTCAGGCAAATGGAGACTATCGTGCTAAGCGAAATAAGCCATTCCCCAAAATCCAAAGGCCAAATGTTTTCTCTGATTTGTGGATGCTAACTCACAATAAGGGTGGTGGTGAAGGAGTTGAGGGAAGAATAGAGTTACTTTAGATTAGGTAGAGGGGTGTGAAGGGAAGGGAAGTATGTGGGGGTAGGAACATAGTAGACTGAATCAGACATCATTATCCTATTGTATATGATTGTACATCATGTACAATCAGAAAAATGAGAAATCATACTCCATTTATGTATGATATATCATGGTGCATTCTGCTGTCATATATAACTAATTAAAACAAAAATTTTTTTAAAAAAAAGAACAGTGGAAGGGCTGGGGTTGTGGCTCAGAGGTAAAGTGCTCGACTAACAAACATGAGGCACTGGGTTTGATCCTCAGCAGCATATAAAATACAATAAAGGTATTATGTCCACCTATAACTAAAAAATAGATATTAAAAAAGAACAGTGGAACAATTTTAGAAGGAGTAACATGTAATGGATACCTAGGAAGGAAAAAAAGGTTGTGTGTGGGGGGGGGCGGAACAGAAGCAAAATCAATGACCAATACCAGCTTGCAGATCTATGAAATTGTGCAAATAGCAAACAAGAGGGAAAACCCGCCCCGCAAACTACACGTGGACATTCCTCAAGCTGCACATAAACAAAGAAAAAGAAAATATTGAAAGAAGACAGAGATGTACAAGGCCCCAAGCTAGATTCCCCTCTGGGGGTGGGGTGGGGATGGAAATTGAGAGAAAAACCATCTTTCTGCATAAAGCAAAGAAAAGAAGAACATTGTGCTTCTATTGAGGAAAGTATGCAAGCAGGAGGCAGGCTGAGTGAAAGGATGAAGGTCTAGAAGAAAAAAAAAATCTACCAACATAGAATTCAGTATCCAGGAAAAATATGAAACAGAAGTGAACAAGAAATAAAGACTCTCTTAGGAAAAAAAAAAAAAAACAGAGAATTTGTGGCCCGTAGACCTGCCTTGCAAGAAATGTTTTTGAAAATTTCTTCAGAAGAAGGAAAATGGCGTAAGTCAAAAACTCAGATTTATAAAGGAAAACTAAGAGCACAGAAGGAATAAGTGAAAGTCAGAT